GGTATGGGTTTTCAAGCATTTTCTAAAGTTGTCACATGCTAGGATTGCCTCTATAGGCTGATAACATCAAGAAGTCAACTTCCTGACAAATCGATTATAGTGAGATTCAACTGTCAAATGTTCTAACCACTTGGCCTGAATCTAATAAACCTATTGTAAATGAAAAACATTGCATTCACACTGAATGAACAAGTAAATATATGAATCAACATTGAACATTTTCTGTATGAATTTCTGGGTTGAGGAGTTATTTACTGTGTACACTATTTATATTTGGACTATTGTTCTCATCTTTGTTGTTAATGTTATCACAACATTTTTGGCATTGTGCCCTTCAGCTTTTCTCAGGTGTATATCAATCTGGGTAACCTACAGGGAATTCTGAACTAAGCCTTTTATTTAATCTATGGGTGTGTAGACTTCTCGTTCCACTGCCCGTCTAGGGATAACTAAAAAAAAAAAAAAAAAAAAACATAAGACTTAGAAAAATAATCATTAATGATTTCTGGAAGCAAACTGATATTTGTCTAGAATTTTAAAAAAAACTGTTTCTTATTAAAACAAAAAGGAAAAATTTGCAATGCAATCCTAACCATGACGATTTATTTACAAATGCACATCAAACTTGTAAACAAATGTTAGATAACAGACATTAAGAGAAGCCACTTGTACTTGACTGACTTTGTTAAATAATCAAGCAAGAATAACAATAATAAACAAAAATAACATTCAAATCATTTGGAGAATGTCATGTTATTTTATACAATGTAGAAAACTTAATTTGATATTTTAAAATTGTTTTCAGTGGTGCTTAGAGATTTCTGTACACATTGTATTCAGAATATAATAACCGATCAATGTACATACAATAAAGTAAATTTTATGGATGTTTAGAATTTGTCATTGTAATGTAAACAATGACAAAGTAAAACAAAGGCTAAAAAAATTGAACAAAGTTTCAGATCGTCTATCAATTACGTATTTGCTTATGAGACTGTAAAAGTAAAGGAATATAAATTAAATGTAATGTATGAATATTTTTTGTAATTCAATTAAATAAAAATATTTTCTCAAGTGACCAGAATAATTTTGTCCAGATAGGTTCATGATAAAGATATAAATAATAAAGGTCAGCTATTTAATTTATTTAAAATTAAAGTACTCGCCTTTCTTCAATATCCATATCTCTGAAATGAGGTATTATGATTACTTATATTATTTACATTATTCAGACTGTTATCCTCATCTTCATTGCTATATTCATGGCTCAGTGGATAAAGGCATTGGTTACATCAAGTGGCTAAAACCAAAGAGCTGAGAGTTCAAGACAAGGCTACAGCAGTGGTGAACCAAAACTTGAAGAGTTAAAGGGAAATAACTGAAACATTCAGAAGAGGCATGGCATGTAGAACTAGAACAATATACCCCAATGAACAAAATAAAGGGTTCAGTTTGAAATTCCAGTCACCTGAAGAAGGCTGGGGCATACAACAGCCGAAATGTTGTGAATATGGTAATGAAGATAAGGATAAGGATAACAGTCCGAATAATGTAAATACTGTTGCTTGCCATCATTTTTTTTGAAAATGGACTGTAGATATTTTAGTCCATTGTCTTCATCTCAATAAGTTACTTTTTCCTTAAAATTAATTCTTGTTATTCACTCTACTAGTTTCTTTGGCTTTTTGTGTTTCAAGATCTTTTTATTTTAAAAGGCATCCTTTGAAATTAGGAAACCTATTTGGAAAGATTTTGTTAATATGCAAAATTGTGGTGCGTATTTAAAAACAAAAACAACAAAAAGAAAACAACTCATTTTTTAGGCAACCAATTTTTTCAAAAATATTTTGAATAGAAAACCTAAACAAAGTATTTTTTTAACCATAGTACTAGATTGGCAGCTAGGTCTCATCATTACAGCAGAAATAGCTAGATGGATGTAACTCAAACTGTTTTCTTTTACACTGCTTGCTTATGGAACTTTCGGCTTATTGCTTCCCAGTTAACTTTGATCTTATTCTTAAAAATAAATAAATAAATGAAATGCAATGTCAATCGTTATCTTCTGTCTTAGTTCCTGTTCTTTTACATATTCTCTCACACTTGACTGAAATAACCCCTTGCGTCTTAGTGGCTTCTATTGTCTTGCTTGGGGGTAAGCTATAAATTTTCATAAATAAATTATTATAAATATAAGTAAAAAATAGTTGAAAATAACATTCTTTTAAAAAAAAAAAAAAAAAAGCACACGCGCGCGCGAAAAACACTTCCAAGGAAATATTAAATTTCAAAGATACAGATTAAGTTTTAGTTAAGAAGACGATACTCCTAAAAAAAAAAAAAAAAAAAAAAATGTTAATCTGAATGAATCAATCTCTAACAAAAACAATTATACTTTTTAAATTTAATCTTTCCTAAGAATTTATCAGAGTTTGATCTCTAAAATAATCACCACAACAAACAATTTCTAGTTAAGTTTGAAAAAATACTAATTTACTGCTACTAAAAATGCATTCATTTCGTTTTCACTTTTCCTTCTTAAAAATTTATATATCTTTTTGGAAAAGGAAAGGAGTAAATCACAATTCCGAGTAAAAATTGAAAAAGAAAGATACAGTGTTGTTATTGTACACAGTGTCACTTTATGCGGGGCAAGTGTTCAACAAGTGTAAAAAGTAAAGTGTTAAGTAAATAATTTATTACAGGAGAAGGTAAAGGTGTCATATAGAGATTTAGCAAGCAATAACATTAAAACAGAATTCAAGGTTAACAAGAATGAAAATACATTGCAAGAGACGAAGATCAATAACAGTCAGGCTTTGATTATGTCGTAAATGGCTCGTTAGAGTTTTACTTACTGCTCTCTAAATAATTTCTCTGGCTAAATATTATTACAGTTTTTATTTTGTACTTGTGATATGGACTTCTATCTACGCAATATAGTTAAAAAAAAAAAAAAAAAAAAGTAATTTTCCTTGGGTTATTATTCAATATTCACAGAAAACACTAAGCAGCAGCAACTTCATCATTCAAGCGATATGTAAATGGTTACTAAGTGTCAAAGATTACAACACTTTCCATATCATATATTTTAGGACTAAAAAAAGAAACCAATTCTTGAAGAGCTGAAGAATTCTTAGCATTTATGGTTACGATGTCCAGTTCTGGTTACGCAGCAACATAATTTCAACAGGAAATGTGTTTTGTCAGCATCTATTTTACATTAGTGCTACTCACATTAGTTGTGTTTTTCCAGTTTTTATGACTGAACTTTCCAAAAATGTAATGAAAGGATGTTGGTTAGAAATAGAACCTGATTTTTTGTCTGTGAATTGATGCTATAAAAATAAAAATCTTGCGAGTCTTAAATTGGAAAAAAAAAAAACAAAAAAAACACCTGTCAAAGAAATAATGAATATTTATTCAACATTGCAGAATAGTGTTTGAAAGTACATTTTTTTGTTACTTTCTGAGTTAAAAGTAAAACTATTTTTCCACAACAGTTGTGAAAAAAAAAAAAAAATCATCTGACATGTATCGATTCTGATGCAGTGCATTTTGTTTTTAGTACACATTAACATGGAATTTTCAGATTATTTTAGGTTAAATAAATAAATAAATATATTGTGTTCTGAATATCTTTACAATTGAATACATCATTGCACATTAAATTTTCTACGTACTTTAAGAAGAGCATCTATTTTTGTGTAGTACACCAAAAAGCAAACCAAAATCTATACTTTTTTGGGGGGGGGAGAAAAACATCATTTTTAGGTTTTAAAAGGTCAGGGCTGTTTAAACAACTATAAGAAAATATTGATTTTATGATATTTTTTTTTTTTTAAAAGGATAGTTTCTGATGGCATGCTGCCAGAATATTGATTTATTTTATTTCCGAAATAAAATAAAATAAAAAAAGCACTAGAGATTATGAAGAAAAAGAAGAATCAACCTTTTCTAACTAAAATTAAAATCACAGAAGAAAAGAAAAATACTTTCACTTTTTTTAAAATTAAAAACTAAAGCTAAACTAAAATGTAGTTAAATTGCCCTGGAAGTTTTAAATAAAAATAATTCTAAGATACATCATCACATTTTTTTTTTATTTCTTTGATTAATTTCTATTGTATATCATTTAAAAAATAAATCACTCGTTACAGATTTTATTAGACATTTAAGTGGGGGAAGCTAGAGATCAAGAATATACTTTAAAATTCAAAAGTTTGATTAATAAACAAAATCGAAAATTAAGATAAAATGCAAAAAATTGAATCGAACATTCTTCTTATCACTTTATCCAAAGAAACATCAAACTGACTTTTTGCATCTTCTTATCAATGTTTATAAAAAAAGAAGATAGTAGCTAACAAAAATTGTATTATTTAAAAGATTATATATTAAAAAGAAAATGTAAATCGATAGAATGTGATTGGAAATAAAATAATTTGTTTTTTTTTCATAGAGAAGAAAAGAAAAGAGAAAATAAAATATAATAAAAATTTCTGGAAATGTTTCGCCAGAATTCATTTCAAGAATTCACATTTGTCTTTTCAAAAAAAGAAAAAGAAAAAAAGAGCAGCACAAATGATAATACAATTTATTAGTTAAAATGATGAATAAATAAACTTAATTATTTTACTTATATTTATTTACAGAGAAATATTCATTCAACTAATATACTTTTTTTCATTTTGCAAGGATTTTTAAAACAAGAAAAAAAAATTACATAGTCATCATTTCCTTAAAGAAAATAAAAATAACACTTAATTTTTAGACAATTAGAAATCTCTGGACTTTTCTTTTTTAAAATAAAATGAGAAAAATGTTAACGTTGAAATTTAAATAGAATTTTTCAGGGGGGCGGAACAAAGACTTGTTACGCGAAATAAATACAACATAATTTTTACAGGTCCTAAATATGTAAAAAGAAATGTTTCTTTCGCTGCAACATTAAAATTAAAAAATAAATTTATTTAAATAAAATAATTGGAATTACTTACCATCTTCATAAGAATGATCGTCTTCCAGGTCTTCTGATTTTTCTCGAGATAAAAATTCCATATTGTTTTTTTAAGAAATCCGTACAAGGCGGGGAATTAAATTTTAAGATAAAATATGATAATTAAAAATGATGAATTCTTATAACAACCACAGATTTTTTTTTTTTAAAAAAAGTTGGGTTTCTTTGAAACTGAGATAAAATTAAAAGAACAAGTCTATCATTCGACTTTGGATAAAAGATGCCATTTCATTTCTTCATTCATCTCAACAACTGAGAGCCGTACATAAATCGTTTAGTAGTCGTACTATCAATAAATACATTTTCATCACTTGGTACTTTCTTTGGTTTATATTGCATTATTATTTTAGCTATTCATGCATTCGAATCACAGAAAGGCATTTTTTAATTTGTTTGATTAGTTAAATAATTATTATTGCCGGTTTCGCTGTTTAACAACAGGTATACAACGCAACAAGATCGTGTGCCCGTTTCGTCATCATGTTTCTTCTTACAGATGAACGGATTTAGAAGTTTTCTGATGGAATACTAAAATAAAACTATCTACTTTCTATGCTCGCAACATACTCTTAGGATAAAGCTTGATAAAAATAAAATATATTCATAAAAAACACATCATCAGTTTGAACAACATTCAATCAATCAACTGTTTCACACGTTCAGTCAGAACAATAAAACAATTGTTAAAAATATATAAAAAATAAATTAAAATACGTTTAACAGGTGAAAATTACAACCATAACAAAATTTTTTTAGACTGAAACGTTTTTTTTTCTGAGTTATATTAATTTTGCTAATTATTATTTAACATTTTTCGATCTTTCAGACAAAATGCACGACGATTTACTTTACTTAGACTAGAGAGAAAGTCGGTTCGATGGTTGGTTGTCTTTAAGAAGTAGCTGTTCCAGTTTCAGATTCTTTCTTTTCTATTTTAATGTTTTACAGGAAATCTGCCTATCAGTCAGTTTCAACAACTAGTGATGTTTATACCTTGCTAACACTCTAGCGGCAATTAATTTGTTGCTTGCCCGACTGATTGACATTACACCCCACCAAACAGCTCCATCGTGCTGGCTTTAAACGCGTGGAGGGAGATAAATGTCAGCTCAAAATGCTTGTCTAGAAGTCACGTGGGCCACGCTCTGCTTTCTGATTGGTCCATTCCAAGACATGACAGATGGCCCACAGCGCGCAATAAGCAAAAAAATGTAAACGTGTCTTTCCACTTTTCTAGTAATTTGGTTGTAAAGGAGATGTTCATGTGGATATTTTTTTTTAAATATATTAACCAGAAAGTTGTGTTGATAAGTTACTATTTTCTTTTGATGTTTATCTCAAATCCATGCATAATAACGTTTTTTGTGATTGATGTCCAGTTAATCAATCACTTGTCATGAGCTCTAAGATCTCTAAACGCAACTGGATACTTTATCATAATTGTTTATATCGACTGCTTTTAACTAAAAATATAAACAACTGTCAACTTAGCATTATTTAATATGTTCCTTGAATCATTTTGCTGGAAATTCTAAATGTATGTATTTAGAATTATATTTGCGCGTGGCACAGACTGTTGTTATAGGTAGACAAGTTGTTTTTTAAAGTTAACCAAAGACAGATATTTGTGGTAGAAGATTAATGAATGTAAGAGGAGGTAGAAAGAAGTGAACATAAGGCGGATATACAAAAATTGATTCTTGACTTGAAGAGGTTAAGATTGTTAATGTTAGTGTTTATAGAAACATCCACGTGGGAAATTGTTCCACAGAGTAGTTACAAGGAAAAAACTGAGTGGAACATCCTTATAAAAATTTTAATTCCATACTAAATCTAAATTCTTGTGTCAAACACAAAAACTGAGTTAGCAGGAAAGGAGAACATGTGCTTCTCTTCTCCTTGAGGTAAAAATATGTGCAAACCACAAAATAAGACTCAAACACTGTGTAAAAATTTAAAGGAAAAACATTTATTAAACAAGTAAAGAAAAAAGGTGCAAATACTAAATTTGCACAAAAATTTTCTTTTGTGTGCTTATTAAGGCAGGATTACAATTTCTGATAAAAAGGCCTACCATCAAAAAATGGAAAAAATTATAATTTCAGTTTAGAAAAAGACAAGGATTTTGAAAATGGTGAAAGAGAAAGCAGTTCTTGAAGGCAGTAAAACAAAGGTGCAGGGATTCCACACAACCACCTTTCAGAAAAAAGGAAACACCTACTTTTACCTACCCCACATCTCTGAGACATATAGTAATTTTAGAAAAGTTCCTTTTAAATTCACACTGTTCATGCTTAGAAAAATTTCTTTGAATTCTTTTCATTCTTTGTTGCTGTAAGAGTTCTGGGATTGCAAAGGAAATATTTGTCACAGATTACTTCCACAATAAAGAGAACAAATCACAAGTTCAGATTTGAATATCAGAGGCAGAAATACTATATCACAAATGGTACTATATCACAAATCACAATGCATGTAACCAGTCAGAAAAATAACTGACTCACCGATGACCGCGGTAGCCAAAATACACCAGTTTTGTCTTTTCATCCCGATTCAAGAACACCAACTGCTTTTATCGACCAAGCATTTTTTCATTTGTCAACAACTGGAAGAGGATACACAATATTAGCATATCAAAATACTTTTATGGCAACTTCTGTAACTGACTTGTTTTTAATATTCCATCTTCAGCATATAATGCAGAATATGTGTCCTTTTTTACGGCAAGTAACTTTCTTTTTTGCCGCATTTTCCATCGTAGGATACATGCGACACGCTGTTGCTTGGTTTAATGAGGTAATTCCCTGTTTTCTTCACTATAGTTGTCTAACCATAGGAGAATTTTCACTTGTGAACTTCTGGGCTCTCTGCAGCTGGCTGGTAACTGGTGCATTCTTGATGTCAAATGCCTTCTGCTCATTGTTGATTTGCCTTGTCAACTTGCTGTCAAAAATGTCTTCTCCTAGGCTTACAGAGGTCACCCATTTGGGTTCTTACTAGGGCTTGAGACCACATCTCTCATTGGTCAATATATACAAAAAATGATTTTCCATAAACTTGTAGTGGGAAAACACAATTTACAAATAGTTTGAGATAACAAATTAAAACCAAATTTACACAATTATTAGAAAACATATATCTCTAACTACACACCAATTTTTGTCTAGCTAAGTTACACACATGCTACACTATTCAAAACAGTTTTTAAAAGAAACACAAATATATCAGATTGCTAACCATCATTGAGGCAAATCTTTATGCCACAGATGCTTTCAACTTCATCTGCACATTTCCTTTATATAGGCTATAAGAACCCAGACAGTAGGATACCAGCAAAAAGTGGAGAGAGACGTCAGACACACATGGCTGATGGCTGTCTAGGCATTAGGCTTTGTAAATAACCTCCAGTAAACACATAAAATGAACAGACCCTATCAATGTGACAAGCACAAAGCGATAACTACCAAGCAATCATCAGGGTTAAGCATGCACTTTTTTCATATACTTACTTCACACCTAGTACATCACACATCAATCCACTACAGTATACCACTTACCAGAGACATTTTTATAACTTGTATATAAAAATAAATCTTTGGCCATTTATCTAAACTTATTGTCCAAGCTTGTTTCTTTTACTCCAGCCAATGTCCAACCTCGAGATCAATAAACTTGAAATGGATTATTCACAATTTTTGCAGTTTTTAACTGCTGAGCCATAAAAGATATACAAATGTGTCAATTTTTTACACAAACTATCTGGCCTTCATAAAAATACATTTCTCTCAAAAGAATGTATATTAAAAAAAAACAACCTAGATGATTAAACATTTATTCAAGACTAACATTTTTAAAGTAGTACAAATAAAATTTTTATATTCTTCTTACAAATAGAATACAGAGGAAATGTGAGTGATTAGACCTCGAGGATGTAGAATGGTGAGTTATAGCTGCAAAGATCTGAATTGAAGAATGTCTAGTGCATGTGAATTAACCCCTAAGCCTCATGCCACTATAAAACTAAAGAGTGAAACTCAACTGAACATTTACCGAGGAAAGAGTGATAGAATAATGATAGACTTGCAACATTGCGTCTGTGGGGAAAGAGGCTGTAGGGAGGAAAATAGGTCATCCCCTACAAGACTGTGTTAATGATTTTGAACTCTATCAAGGCTAGAAAGTGAGAATTTGGCAGCTCCAGCTGAAATATAGCAGCAATACTCCATTTTTGGTTTAATCTAACTTGTAGAAATAATGCATGGCAGAATGAGTCAGCTATTCTTCAGGGTAGTGAGAGAACAAAGAATGAATTATTACAAGAAATTTGAAAATGTAGGTTGGTACAGAAGTTTCTGATACTATCGCGTCATGAAGATATTAAAAGTATTTTTAGAAGTTTTCTCAACTCTTTATTAAAGAGTTTTGTGAGAAAATTAAATAAAATCAACAAATAAAATAATAACGAGTAAAAAAAAAAAAAAAAAAAAGAAATAAATTTTCCCATAATGCTAGTAGTAAAGGAACTGGAAATATGATTATCCCACTTGGTTTCATCAAACGCCACTAGGTGGCACTGTTTAAGTCTATAAAAAGACAATTTCCTTCTTCTTTCTCCTATCTCCTTCTTGCTCCAAGATGTAGTTACACGTGGAAACAAGATAGACCTGCTGGGGAACATTTGCTTCCTTGGTCCAGTGATGACTGAACTCTTTTTCTACTTTCCAACACATGGTGCTTGAATGTGTCATCCAAAACCTCCACCTATGAAATAAATCAACCTTTTCTTTGTTTGTTCCAACTCAGTGCAGAGCTGAATTGATCTTGACCATTATAACCATCCTTTAATCTCCAACAATGAAGTAAGTATAAATTTTTCTTTGGTTGTTCCAACTCTGCACAAGGCTGACCTGAGTGCAACCATTAAAATGACGCTTATACTTACTTACTTTAACTCCTGGACCAAAAAGAAAACAGACTTACCCAAGAGACAATGAGGACTTCACTACAGTTTATATATTAAAAAAAGAGAATAAATGGTCTA